CCTCGAACTCGCACTCGAACTCGCACTCGCACTCGCACTCGTAGTCGTTATCGAATCGCAGAACGCGACAAACTTGTCAAAAAGACATTGGCCCGGCCCACGCAATCGGGCAATCAAAGGCGGCCCAAAAAAAGCACACACACACCCTTGTCCCCACAAGGGATTGCAGGGATTGCAATCTGACCCCGCGAACCCCGACAAAAGGGTGGCAGTTGCCGAAAACAATTCACAAAATGCGTCATTTGTTGAACAGCAAGCAAGGGGTTTACGGAGAGAGACAGGCCGCTCTTGTTTTGGGTAACTTTATGGTAGGAAATTTAATGGATTTATTTACACACACACACACAAATACTTCTCCCCCACTGATTATAGTCGTAGTTCCTGGTAGTTAGAGTGTACTATTTATAGGACTGGACTCGTAACTAGTCCATCAAAAACCCATCTTTGACTCCACGGAAAGGTTATTCTTTCCCTCAACGCGTCATGCAGCAGCGCCCCTCGGTGGGGGGCTCATCTGCTGATCAATATTTCGCTTCATTAATCCATTTAATCGGTAATCAAGAATGAGCAAGCAAATCTCTCAAGAACCAAGTGCCTAGAAGTGCCTGCCTCTCTCTCGGGGCGGCGTTCCTCTTGGTTTAACTTTTGGCACTGGTCGCACCTGCACCTCCTGCACCCACGCATTGGCTCGAGCCCCGACAAATGTAACGTCAAATTTCCCGAGCATTAGATTAATCTGCGGCTAATGAGACAGATGTCTAGACCCGCAGTGCAGTCGCGGGGAACCAACCTTCTAATTGGCAATGGCAGTGGCGGTGGTGCTGCAGCGGTGCAGTGGCACACCCAGACCCAGAATCTCAGTGCGGCAGGCAGCTGTTGCAACAGAGAAAATGCCATTGTCTGCCTGGTATGCCTGTGGCATTGACCTTGAACTTGTGTTCGATTTGTTGCTTCGCTTTGCTTTGCGGTTTTCGCCCTTCAACGTTTACTACGGGCCGGGTAATGGCAGGGCCAGCGGCAGGGGCAGCGGCAGCGGCAGGGGCAGGGGCAGGGGCACTCTGAAGCAATTTGAATAGAAAATCGACTGAGAGTTGGCGTTGGAGGCGGAGGCGGAAATGCCTTTGACTGCCATGTCATTTATAGCTTCTCTCTCTCTGTCTCTCCTCCAACTTTTGTTTCTCATTCCATTTTCCACCGTCGAGTGCACAAATTGCGAAACTTGTCGCCTGCCACTCGGTAGCAGGTGCATCGGTGCTTCAAAAGGTGCGCTCCCGGGGGCTACAAAGGGGGCGGGGGGGTTGCTAAAATTGAATTATGGAATGTCTGTGCTGTCATTAGGCACTGTGCAGTAAGGCAGGCCTTTGTCGAAGTTGGTTCCATTGATTTATTGATGTTTACGCTGAGAAAAGCTGATTAAAAGTATTCCGGAATTGGTTTTTTTTTGTAGACTGTAGGTTCAGCCTGCCACGCGTTATGCGGCAGTGCCCCTCGGCCGTCTTCTTGGGATCTCTGGATTCGCTTGACTCTCTACAAGCTCTACAAGACTGTCCTCGCCCACTTGCACTGGCACTGTGTGTTTTTTCAACGCCCACAGAATGGCCTCAACCCACGACCCACGTTCCGAACCCCCAATCGGATCGGTTCGGATCGTCTTTCATTATTACATTATGTTTTTTGCACTTTACCCTCTACCATTCGTCTGCCCATTATCCATTATGGCGTTCGCTATTTGTTTGTTCTATTTATTTGCTTTTGTGCATTTGAAATGTGCCGCCAAAGTGGGGGGGAAAAAGGGAACAAAGGAAGTTGCTTCATAATGAAAAGCGTTTCACAGAGAGAGAGAGAGAGAGCGAATGAGGGAGCAAAAGCAAACAAAAGTTTGTCATTCATAGATGAAATGCCAGGGACAGGGCCAGGGACAGGGCCAGGGACGGGGACAGGGACGGGCGACAGCGACAGCATTAATTAAACAATTATAAAACGCAAATAAAATCAAAAGAAACAAAACATTTTATGATTATAGTGTGGCACCCCACCCCCCCAAACGCCCCTCCCCCTTTGGCCAAAACGCGTATCAGTAGAACGCCAAAAAATTATTGTCACGACAACATTAAAAATCACTCAACCGTTGTCTCGTGTGCCAATTTCTGTTGTTCTCCTCCCCTTCCATCCCCATCCCCATCCCCATCTCCACCCTTTGTTACCCTTGCAAAAATGCTGCCCCACCACTCAGGAGGCACCCCCCACTCCATGCCCCCATGGTGTTCATTTAAATCACATAAAAATCAAACAACAAACCAAAATAGAACTAAAGCCAGTTTTATTCCTTCGTTAATGTTCTCTTGCGGGTCTCTTTTCTATTTTTATGTGACGCTCCATCGTTCTTTATGTTAATTGATTCAAGTTTTATAAGTTTTTAATGAAACCGACCTGAACTTGGGCTCCAACGAGCGTCACAGCAAATTGGAGTGGGAGAAACCAGAATTGTAACCTTGGACCTCCACGAGTACCTTGAAAGGGGCTTAGTTTTGTGTCAAAGGAAAGCTGAGGAGGGAATACTCTTTCGAAGGGGGCCAAATCTCCGCCCAGAGAGGAGCACAAGTCTCCAGGAGATTTCAAAAGGAACTGCAATCGAATGGCATTTGAATTCGCTTTCAATCGAACCCACCGCCGAATTCCTCGGATTATTCATGCCTCTGGTATTTGTTAATAATCTTTTTGAACAAAATAAAGCCATCCGCTTAATTTATGCAAAATCCTCATCATAACTCAATGCGACACCGAAACTCGAACTCTAAGACAAACACAAGCCACTTTTTCGGTCGATCATTTGACAAATGACAATCTTAATAATGATAATACCAGTAGCCAGGCATCCCCCTCTCCCCCCTCCCCCTCTCCCCACCACTCCAGCGATCGGCGGTGATTGTTTTTATTGTCCGAACATCTCCATCTCCATCTCCATCTCCGAACAGCTGTAATGCGGCATGGAAATTGATGGCACATTCAAAAGAAATTAAAAATTCATCGTTTTTTGTTTTTTCAACAGAATTGAATAATTTCTGAAGTGAATTGTGTATGGCAGGCGTTTAATTGGGAGTTTTAAGAGGAAAACAAACAATTGGGGAAGCTTTAAATACCAGGAAAAATCGAAGTGGCACGAGCCACATCACGTGTGCTGCGGGGGCGGGGGAAGGGGTGCAGGGCAAAGGAGCCTCCTTGAGGTTCAAGAACCTCTTCATTAGTTGTGCGGCATGCAAAAGTTTATGGCCAGGGAGCTTGGGGGATAATTACAACCAAAGGACAACGAAGAACGAAGAACGGGGGCGGACAATGGTCATGACATGTGGCAGGCGACAGAGGCGACACAGGCGCCAGTCGACGGCGGCGGCTATGGTGGAATCGCGTGTCTCCGGCGGCCGCTCCCAGCTGTGAAAAATGGGTCGCGCGTGACAAAGGTTTCCGGGACGCGGGGGTGGGGCCAACACCAGAGGCAGGGGCCTGGACCGGACAAATCCGGCTAAAATCAATAGCAAACACGCAAATACTTAAGCCCCCCGAATCAGCAGCGGTCGAATCAGGTCTTCCAGATACGATATACGTGCGATATACGCTGTACGATGTACGCTGTGCGATGTATTTCGCCAGAATTTTTCGTTTTTGGCTACCAGGAATTTTGGCCAGCCCAGAGATCCGCTTGCGAGCCCGAACCTAGTTTGGTGTTGACTGTTTTTTGTGTGGGCGGGTTTTTGCATGAAATACATTTCGCAATGCTTGAAAAAACAAAGAAGCTGCCTGTGGAAAAACGTACATACATACGTTCGATCGAAATGCGAAAAGTCAACAAAAGTCGTGTAAACAAGAGCGTTCGTGTTCGTGTCAATCTCTGGGACGACAGCTGCCTGCCCCCCGGTGGCACTGTACTTTCGTGCTGGTGTTTGCACAAAATCCTCAAAATCCACTTTAAATTGTGGAAAATGTTTGATTTAACGAATGAAAAGAGGAACCAAATGGAAATCTTTAATGGGGCCTTTGAATTTCCTTTACTTTTGTGGGGATTTGTACTCAGGGTCAGGTAAACCCCAACAAGTCTAGAGCAAGTACAATTCACGTAGCATCGCACACGTCGATGCCTTTTGCATGCAAATCGCCTTTTAAATGATCAACGATTGCACTTAATTGCTGTGCTTGAATGATTGAGAGCCCTTAAATGGACTCAGCTCTGCCAAATTGAAACGCTGGGATTCGGTATTCGAATCAGCTTCGAAGGCACACGAACCCCGTCTTATGTTTCGAGTCGTTTCAGTGATTCGGAATGATTCGAATCCGAGTGAAGGCTGTGGATTCAGGCAGGACAGGGCTCTGGGTACCTGTGAGGACCATCACTGGGCACACATCCCTTCGAAAGATGTAGAACCCAAAAACCATAACCAACCTTTTTTTTGAGGGTTTCCGATACATATTTTCTAGGGTAAAAGTGCTGCCAATCAACCTATAATCCCTGCGCTTCCCATTGAAAATCCCATTGCCATTTCGTCTATCATTTCGTGTTCTGTTTAATTGGGGGAATACCATAATGCATTGCAGTGCACATTGCACTTTTAAGCAGCAGTTACATGTAGTTTTTGTTTCGTTACATTTTTGATTGTGGAACAGCTACTACTTCTATATACACATACAGAGGTAACACATAATATACTAGAATATATAAGGGTATACATAAAAAAGCATTGTAAAAACGATATAAACAATAATGTGTAGGTGTAGGTGGTTTTGCGGTTGCACAGCAGCAGCTTCGTGTAAAAAATAACTATACAAATAATAATACTTAACGTAGGCTTTAAAAATACAATTAAAAAAAAGGAACATATGCACAGAGCCACGTCTCCTTCTCCTCCTTCGTCTCCGTCTCCTCTTACATGTGTGGGAAAGTACAAAAAGATGTCAAGTATATAGTAGTATATATGGAAATACAAATACAAATACAAATATATATCACACACACACACACACATACACATACACATCCGCACGCACACACACACTACTACTATGTATATATAGTACAGATATCGACTAAAACACACACATATATAGGCATATCTGACTGACTGTTGCCCCTCGGGATTTAGGCCTTGATTTTGCGTCCCAATTTGGTGACGGCATACTTGCTGTGGCCCTCGCGTCCCGAGGAGCCGCCACTGCCGCCACCACTGCTGCCATGGCCGTGGGCGGACTTGTGGCCGTGCTTGCCGCCAATCCCGTTGTGCGAGGGCTTTGTGCGTGTCTCGAAGAGGACATCGGAGTCTGTCTCTGATTCCGTGAGTGAAGTAGTGCGGGAATCTGCGGAGGGGGAACGGGGGAAAGTGAGCTGCTGGCAGGGTAATAGAACTCCAGTCCATAACTTACAATTGGCCGCCTCCTCATCCTGATTGCCTATCAGGGCATATTTCTGCACTTTCTGCCGCAAGCGCGGCTTCTTCGACTGTCGGCAGGCGCAGGCGATGCCCCAGAAGACCCCCGACAGCAGCAGGCAGCCCACAATCACGCCCACAAACACATACAATATGGACCAATCTGTAAGAGAGAGACTGAAGTAGGAAACGATACCCCCAAGGGAAACACAGTCCGTATAGCTACCGCAATTGGCCTCCTGATTGCTGAAGAAGTAGCCCGCTGACGGCATCCAAAAGGCCTCGCAGATGCAGGCGCGTGTCGCCGGGTTGCAGCTGCCGTGGCCGGAGCAGTTGTTCTGGCAGACGGTGGTGCGTATGTCCACGAACAGGGCACCCAGAATGGAGGCGTCCCTCTGGAGCTTGGCCCGCAGGAGCAGCTCCACATGCAGCGCATTCAGGGGCGTCGACTGCACGCCCGTCACGTAGAACACAAGGACAGCCGCCTCCGTGTGCAGATCGTACTTGAGCTCTCGTATCTGTATCTTGTTGTCGTCGCCCAGCAGCAGCTGCAGCTTTTGCACGATGGAATCCAGCTCGGACTGGGAGATGACGGATATGCCCATGGGGAGGGTCATTTGCACGAGGTACATCAGCATCGGATCGGGGTGGACATTCACGCTGACGGTATCCGTGCTCGTCAGCCCCTGATCGTCGCTCACCGTCAGCTTGAAGACATAGCGGCCGTGCACGAGGTTCGTCAGCTGCAAGAAGGAGTCTTATATGAGTCGCACGTCCCATGCCAGAGGAGCGGGGCGGGGCGGGGCGGGGCGGCCCGAACTTACAATCATCACGGGCTGCTTGTCGGTGTCTGCCACAATCATGCCCGCTGCCAGACTGTTGTCCTCCCGCGTCCACAGATACTTGACGACGGCCAAGTCGTCCCAGGACTTCGAACCGTTCAAGTAGATGGCTGTGACAGGCATTGTGATGCTGTGGTCCCCGCCAGCATTGGCCACCGGCGGAGCATTGCGCTCTAGGGCGAGAATTCGGGGATTAGAAGGGTCCACAGATGACTTTTGCCTCGGTTCTTACCCTGCACAATCTTCACCCAAGTGGAGTCCGTGGCTGTGTTGTTGTTCTCATCGGAGACACTCAGCTGGAACTCGTAGAGGCCCAACGTGAGGCTGGTGGCGTTGGCCATCTGGTGGATAGAACAGGGATTAGTCTCGAGCGAGGGGAAACAGTCCGCTCGATGCTGTTACCGATGTGTTGGACTGCAGAATCACTGCATTATTGGGTCCGTTGAGCTGCCTCCATTGATAGGTTTTGATGCCGATGTCGTCCTTAGACTCCGAGCCATTCAGCAGCACCCAGTTGATGGGCAGACTCGTGGTCTGCAAGGGCAACAGGGGTCAGATTGAGTGCAAGAGTGAAATAAGGACCTACTCCGGCTTACCGCGTTGGCACCCGCCTCCGCAATCGGCGGGGAATTCGTTGGTGGCTTCACAAACACGTGCACCTTGGCCGTGCTCGACTGGCCGCTGCCGTCGGTGACCTTCAGCACGAAGGTGTACATGCCCTCCTCCAGGTTCGAGAGCTGGGCGTAGGGGGTCCTCGTGTTCTGCATGTCCACGGCCTTGGCCTCGTCGCTGGCGTCCTTGGTCCATTCCCAGGCCACAATCTCGTGATCGTCCGAGCTGGCAGTGCCGTTGAGGGTCACGTTGTTGTTCGGGAGGTACAGGATGACGGCGTCCCCGGCATTGGCCACCGGGGCATAGTCCGTTTCCTTGAGAACTGCGATCGTGGCCGTCGTCGAGTTGGTCACGTTGTTGGAGTCCGTGACCGTCAGCTTGAAGGTGTAGTTGCCCGGCGACGTGAGATCCAGCTGCAGCGTGTTCACCTCCGGCAGCGAGGGCTGGTAGCCAATGGGTCCCGAAATGACCTCCCAGTGCCAGTTGGTAATCTTGTCATCGTCCGTGCTGGTGCTGCCATCGAGGATGGCGTTGGTCGAGGGCTGCCGGATGATCTGCTTCCCCGGCGAGATGATCACCTGCGGCGGCTGGTTGATGCGGTTCTCGGGCAGCACCGTCACATTGGCCGCCGCCTCGCCAAAGGTGCCATTGTCCCCCGTGACGGTGACCTTGAAGGTGTACAGGCCCTCGGAGAGATTCGAGAGCTTCACCTTGGACTTGCTCTGGTCCGAAATGGTGCCGTTCATCGGCCCCTTGGGCTGCGATATCAGCGTCCACAGATACTTGTACTTGGTGTCGCTCGTTTGCTCGTCCGGCACGGTGAAGGCGGCCAGCGTTACCTCCTGCTCGGGCAGGCGCACCTCCTTGGACATCACCGAGACCACAATGTCCTTGCTGGGCTCCGTTTTGGCTGCTGGCGCAGTGGACATCTCGGGGGAGTTCTCACTGGCGGCGGCGGCCACCGCATCCTCCTGCTGCTGCTGCTGCTGCACAGCCTCGTTGCTGGTGAGATAGGCGCTGTAGGGAATGGCACGCATCACGCATTTCCGTTGCTTGTTCCAATCGAAGCCGCGGGGACAGGTGCACAGTCCCGTGGCGGCATTCGGATGGAGGGGCACGCACTGCTCTTGCGGCGGGCAGGGCGTCTCCAGGTCACAGGTCATGAACTTGCCATTCTGCGGCAGCTCCACGCCGCCAAAGTAATTGAGATCCTCGCTGGCCAGCACATCGTTCTCGTCCAGTTGATCGTGCAGCTGCTTCATGCGCTTGTCCGCCAAGGGGAAGTCCTCATCGTCGTAGGTGGGGGAGTCCTTTGGAGGTGCGGGGTTACTAGACGGTCTGATTTCAGTGAGCACTCTGCTTGGAGACTCACCTGGTTGCGTGGCAGGTAGCCCAGGCGACGGGGCTGCTTCCAGAAGTTGAGGGCTGCCGCCCCTTGGGCCGCCAGCTCGTCGTAGGGCAGGATCTCGGCGTTCTGCTTGGAGGCCTTCAGCAGCTGCGACCACGTGGCCGACTCCCCCACGGGATTGACCAGCACCATCTGCACCTTCTCGTTGTTGCGCACCCGCTGCTTGGGCAGGCATCCCTCGTTGCTGCTGCAGCGGATGTGGAAGCACTTGCCGTGGAACACGAGCACCACGTTGCAGGCGCTCGTCTGGTTGCGCGACTTGTCGCAGCACGCCTGCAGGCAGTTCCAGAGGTAGGCCTCCTCCTCCAGGGGCTCCTCGGAGGCGACCTCGCCCCCGGGCTTGTACTCCTCGAAGACCCCAGCCTGCTGCTCGTCGCGCGGCGTGGCATTCTCAAAGACGTGGCGCAACATGCGAGGGCAAACACCAGTGGTGCTGCTGCTGCTGCTGCTGCCTGGTGGAGTCTCCGCGGCGGCGGCGGCGGCGGCGGCGGCGGCGGCGGCCGCAGAGCCCCCCGTCGCCAGCAGAGCATTTTGCGTCGTTACACCAGCCATGACGTCGGCATATGCTGACGCCATCGCCAGCAGCAGCCAGCAGAGCTGCCACACGCGTTTCTCCATGACCAATACGTGCCACACAGCTTTCCGTACGAGTTGCACACTTTTTCCTGCGTTTTTCTGCAATAATTTGCACAAAAACCTAGTTTTTCTTCGGACGAACACAAACACAAAAAACACGAAAATTACACCACGCAAACAGCTGATTGTCGTTCTGCGCAGAAGCAGTGTTGTAAGCCGTCGCCAGGCGTTGTAGGTGTTGTCAATGGGCGCCAGAGAGCGTTAGAGTTTCGAAGTTGCAGCTTTCGAAAGCTTTCTTTGGCGTTGCTTGGCAGCCGAACGATTCGTTGTACGCTCTTTTGCATTTGCATAAATTGCAAAAATATTGATCTTCCGTCCTGTTCTGTTCTGTTCTGTTCTGTTCTCTGCCTGGCTTTTAAGGTCTCGTGCTGCCCACACGAACACGTTAACGTTTGCTGGTAGCGCGGCCCAGCCCCATAAAGAGCCAATAAATAAATCCTGCCCACGCGCCTCGAATCGAATCGAATCGAATCGAATCGCTGCAGAAATTAATTACATTTCAAGCAAATAAACATAAATCAATGCATTGTGTTTATGTTAATATTTTCTGAATGAAAAACAATACACAGAAAATCAAAGAAAATCCAAAAATCCAATGAAATCTGGGAGGCCTAGGGTCGGGTCGGGTCGGGTCGAGCCGAGCCGGTCGGAACTTTTGTTTGTTGTAGAAAAATCCCCCGAAAATCCCTGGTACTTAATTTCCACGGCCTTGCCTCTGACGCCTGCTGTTATTATCTAGATCTAGCGGCATTAGTTAACCAAAAAGAAAAACAACAATAAAGAACAACAGAAATGGATTTTATTGTAGGCAATACTTTTTTGCGGTTTCAGTAGGAGAAAAGTAGAGGCTACAACCACAAATCATTGTTAAAGAATTCAGAATATAATTAAATATTTATTTTAATAGGAGTTCACATTTTTCCCACTTTATTACCGAGAAAAATGTGATCTCATTTTTCCCATTTTATTACCGTGATTTCCTCAGCAACAGGTCTGAAAAAAGCCCACCACAACCCATTGCCTTGTAGGGCAGCAACTATTTCTCACTTATGATAATTTGTTTTAATTATTTAAATGTATTTTGAGGCGAATTCACATTTTTCCCATTTGTTTGCCGAGATTTACCCAGCAACAGATTTCCGATTAAACCCATTGCCTCACAAGGCACCAACTATTTCCCACCGATAATAACCGTTTTCTTTCTCTTTCACTCGTGTTTCGTCCTTACAGATGACAGACTTCTCGGATAGCTCGCCCAGTGGGGTGCTGAGTCCAGCCTCTACAATGATAGAGAATTTCCACAAGAAGAACAGCTCCCCACAGCCCATCAGCGGCAGCAACAGCAACAGCAACAGCATCACTAGCACCACTCCCACCGCCATGAATGGCAATGGAGGAGGAGGAGTGCTTGTTGGATCGGGATCGGGATCGGGCACCACCAATGGTGGCCGACAGATCAACACGAGCTCGAGTTCTTGCAGTAGTCTTAAGGAAACCTCCCATCAATCCACATCCACATCGCAGCAGGTGAGAACCCAACCGAATCGAAATCGAGTGGAGTGGGGTGGGGTGGGGTGGGGCGGGGTACTACGCCACGATTAGACAAGAATGGTATCTGACGTAGCCTCTGGTCATCAGATATCAGCTCCCAGATATCGTAATGGAAGCGGGAGATATGGTAGAGAGCTGACCAGAGCCCCTATATTTAGCCCATTACTTAAGGAGGCCGCATAATCAGGCAACATTTTCGCAGTACCTGTGCTCCACCGATAAGCCTACTTAGAGGTTAACAGCCATCGATTGCCCTTCTCTTTTCTCGCCTACGATTTACTGGCATGCACGATCCGCGCCGATAAGATTATGCTGCTGCTTTAGCCACACACCCGCCTGATCGGCGACATCATGGCTGCTGTTTGAACAGAATCGTTATTACTCGCATTAATCACTCGAGTGCGAACAAAAACCATCAAAATTATAAGTGAATAATTCACAGAAATACACAAAAATATACCAAACAAAAAAAGGGGAACGGATAATGGGTAATGGGGAACGAGGAATGAGGAATGAGGAAAACGTGCCGCTTGTGCCAATTGTTGTTTAAACAATTTTAACGATCTGTTAACAATTTATTTATGATTTTCTCTGTGTTTTTATGATTCGAATAGATTAGATATGTGCTTGGGTATTCACCAGAATTTGCATAGTACTCATACGAGTGTTGCTTTTATCTAAAAAACTTTCCCAAGTTTTGATAAGGAAGTTGCCAATCAGCGAGCAGAAGGAAAAACGTCCATCAAAAGATGACAGCTTTCGGCTGGGCCCCCCCCAAAAATAGCCACTGACTTGGTCAAGCAGTATTTCCATTAATTTATGACTTTATGGCGGTAAACGATGGTCTAGTGCTCTCGTAATCAAAGTAAATACGAGTACTGAGGCGAAAATAGTTGGCTTTTGTAATACGTTTATGACACACGTTAGAGGTCGGTCTCTGCTGGGGGCGGGGAGGAGCAGGAGGCGGGAGGGAAAGCATCTCCCTATCACACACACACACACACACACAGACGACTACCGTTTTCGTTGTTCTCCCACACTCTGTCTAGACGTCATCTCTCTCTCTCTTTCTGTTTGTCTGGCTGTGGGTCGTGCTTTATATATGGAGAGTGAGTCATTTGCCGGCGGCACACTTCGACGTAAGCACCGGTCGCAGATCCAGAGATTCACCCGTCCCCTCAAGCAGCATCACCATCGCCATCATCAGCATCAGACTCGCTTCAGATTCGCCTTAGACTCGCCTCGTGCTAAATTAGCCGTGGTTTATGGGGTTTTGGGGGCTCGGGGTTTATGGGGGTTATCTGCTTACATCCTGGTAGAGGTCCAAGTTCAAACATTAAAAGTGTGATTTGCTCTAATCTATTAGGTACCGCATATAGTATAGTATATAGTATAGTATGCATATTCATTCATATTCATATTCATATTCGCATTCAATTGAATAACACACAAAATGTCCCTTGACTTTCGTCCGAATTGATTGTCTCAATGACTCGGAACGAAACGGGTGACAATTTTCGTTTTCTGGTGAAAAATGTGTTATTTAAGTTGGTTTAAGAAACCGATTTGGCGATATGATTTGGCTGTTCGTAGAATTTGTTGAGGTAAGGCACAAGAAAATAAAATAATTATGGCCTGAAAAGCGGTGCTGTAGAAGGTATAGAAAATATAGAACATACAGAAGATCAGAGAAGAAAATATAACAAAAAGGGAAACAGCTATGATCGTGGAAGTGTTAAGGAAAAGATCACTGACAGACAGCAGCTTTAATTATGCTAAAAGCCTTTTAAAATGCACTCAAGCCCCTATTAAACGACATAATAATATAATTATTAGAAAATTCCACGCGAATTCGTTAAACAATTATGCATCGATTAACACCTAATTATTCAAATATTCCGAAACAAAAGTTAAACGGATATTGATTCAAAAATTCGCTGCCTCTCTTTCGCTCTGTCCGCTGCCCTGTCTGTCTGTCTCTTTCACACTCTTTGGGGCGAAAAAGTACCGTGATAATCAGAAAAGTAAACAACGCAAATTGAAATGAGAAAAAACGAGATACGATCTTCAACAAGCTGCCGATACAGCAACAACAAAGGCAGCAAATCAAAGCCAAGAAACTTGGATACCGAACAGCCAAGCGGGTGAACGCGTTAATTAGAGAAGCAAAAGCTCTAAAACGTGAACACTACACACGGCGGTGGGAAGGGAGGGGGGTAGGCAGACAGGCCGTAGTTGGTAGAATTATGGAAATGCAAATTATTCACAGCATAAATTAACGTCTAACACACACGCCCGTAGAAACCCTAAGGAGAGAGCGGGACACATAATTTGATTTCCTAGAATTACACACACGCACAGAGGGCGACTCTTGGGAGCACACACGGGCACGTTTCACTCTCGCCCTCTCCCGGTTATCTCTCGAACGTATCACCCTCTCCCTCTAACTCGTGCCTCCTCTGCCGCTTGCCGATCGCCACTTAAAACTGGCGACAGGCAAGACGACGACAACAACGCCGCTAAAAAAAAGCTTCGGAAGCTTCCGCTGCTCCGCTGTTCTGCTGTTCTGCTGCTCTGCTGCTCTTAAGCTAGACATTTCTCGGCACGGCGCTCATTTTTATTTTAGTTAACGAAACGAACGAAACACAGCAGTGGCGACGCGCTAAGAAATTCAGGAAATACTCGAGCAAATAAAAGAAAAAAATCCACCAAACCCCAAACACCTGAAACCCCAAACCGAAAGGCGGAATTGTTGTCGTTGTATTTTCCATTGCTAGCGTGTATGCCCCGCGAATCAAAATAATATATGTATTAAATAATTACAAAACGAAGAAACGAAATCAATGCCCAAGGAATTCTGTCTTGGGCATTAACGAACCCAAAATCAAACATAAAAAAAAACAAAAACAAAAACGAACACTCTTTTGTTATCAGTATTGCGAAGAGGAATCAAACACACAAAATCGAAACGAACAAAAATAAAGGTGTACAACTTGTAAAAGCGGAAAACGTGAAAGAAATCAGCCCAAAAAAGAAATAAAATAAAATAAAATATATGTCTAGTACACATATAGTACATGTAGTATATTCTATTCCACAATTGCCGTGTGTGTGTGTGTGTGTGTGCTAGTGTGTCTCTGATAAGCCCGCACTCATCCCAGGCTGATTATACTGCTATATGCCATAGGAATATATGCACATATGTGTGTCCGTGCTTTATCGAAACGCAGGCGTATACGTAATATGAAATTCAATTGAATTTCGCATACTTTTCCAAGAAGTTTTCCCCCCCACACTTGTGTGAGTGTGTGACAATCTCTTCACAAAAAGGTTAGTCCCGCAACATCATTCAGATAATTTCGTAAATGACGCAAAAATTGAAGAGAACAGAAAACACAACAATAACAATAGGTACTACATACATATTGTATATTGTAGAACGATGATATCTAATCTATTTGATTTCATGTCCAAACCAAACTCCCTGTGAGGAAAATATTTATTGATCAGTGTGTGGAGTGCTTGAAAT